CTAGTGCATTGTGAACAATGCAGAGACATTCACAGAGCATGAGAAGAGAAGAATTAAAATTCTACAACTAACAAAATTAAAATACTAATTTTAAGAGATACGCTTGAGTTTATACAGCCGACAGACGTGTAAGGAGTTAAGACCTAACTCCCATATCATTTTCTGGATGTTTTTCCTGGAGTTTGATCCAATCACCAGAGTATGTACATGCATCTCAAGACTAGAGAGCTATATTCCTGCTGTGCCACTGATTCATTGTCTGACTAGAGAGCAGCCTAATCAACTTCTTCTGTCTAGGTTGCCTGCTTGGGAAAAAGGATGATATAATTATTTCACTGAGACTTACATTTTAGAAGATGGTCTGATATGTTCTGATTTAACAGTGTATATTAGTTCAGAGAATATTATTATCTTCTTTCTATTCTACATGATAAACACAAGTCCCAATTTTCCCTGAAAAAATCTTAGACATTCTCATCTTGCTCCCAATTTAATAACCGAATGAGGAATCCTAAAGCTGTACGAAAACACTTCGTACCACATCCTAGCACAGAAGCATATTTCATAGAATCATAGAATCATAGAATGGGCTAGGTTGAAAAGGACCACAATGATCATCAAGTTTCAACCCCCCTGCTATGTGCAGTGGCACCAATTACCAGACCAGGCTGCCCAGAGCCACATCCAGCCTGGCCTTCAATGCCTCCAGGGATGGGGCATCCACAACCTCCTTGGGCAACCTGTTCAGTGAATCACCACCCTCTGTGTGAACAACGTCCTCCTAATATCTAACCTAAACCTCCCCTGTCTCAGTTTAAAACCATTCCCCCTTGTCCTATAACTATACACCCTTGTAAACAGCCGTTCTCCCTCCTGTTTATACGTTCCCTTCAGGTATTGGAAGGCCACGATGAGGTCTCCCCAGAGCCTTCTCTTCTCTAGGCTAAACAAGCCCAGTTCCCTCAATCTTTCCTCATAGGAGAAGTGCTCCAGCCCTCTGATCATCTTAGTAGTCTTCCTCTTAGACCCACTCCAAGAGCTCCATGCCTTTCTTGTACTGGGAGTCCCAGGCCTGGTTGCAGTACTCCAGATGGGGCCTCGCAAGAGCTGAGTAGAGGGGGACAATCACCTCCGTCTCCCTGCTGGCCACCTCATTTTTAATGCAGCCCAGAACACAGTTGGCCTTCTGGGCTGCAAGCACACACTGCTGGCTCATGTCCACTTTCTCGGTTACTAGGGCCCCCAAGTCCTTCTCCACAGGGCTGCTCTCAAGGAGATCTTCCCCAGTTTGTATAAATACCTGGCACTGCCCTGACCCAAGTGCAGCACCCTGCACTTGGCCTTTTTGAACTTCATTAGGTTTTTGTGGGCCCACTTCTACAGCCTGTCCAGGTCCCTCTGGATGGCTTCACTTCCTTCCAGTGTATCAACTGCACTGCTCAGTTTGGCGTCATCCTGAAACTTGCCATCGTCGTCACTGATGAAGATGTTGAAGAGCACCGTCCCCAAGACCAACCCCTGAGGGACACTGCTTGTAAACAGCCTCCACCCTGACACAGAACCATTGATCACAACTCTTTGGCTGTGACCAGCCAGCCAATTCCTAATCCATCAAACAGTCCATCCTTCAAATACACACCTCTCCAATTTAGAGAGAAGCATGTGGTGAGGGACCATGTCAAAGGCTTTGCAGATGACACCTGGTATCCGGATGTCCCAGCAGATGACATATGTCACCCTCCCCTCATCCACTGAAGCTATCACTCCATCAGAGAAGGCCACCAGATTGGTCAGGCATGATCTGCCCTTGGTGAAGCCATGCTGGCTATCTCTAATTACCTCTTTGCTTCCCATGTGCCTTAATATAGCTTCTAGGAGGATCTGCTCCATGATCTTCCCAAGCACAGAGATGAGGCTCACCGGCCTGTAGTTCCCTACGTTTTCCTTTCTTCCTTTCTTAAAAATGGGAATAACGTTTCCCTTTTTTCCAATTACCCGGAACTTCACCAGACAGCCATGATTTTTCAAATATGATGGAAAGCAGCTCAGCAACCACATCAGCCATCTCTGTCAGAATCCTAGGCTAGATATCATCCGGCCACATGGACTTAAACACATTCAATTTCTTGAGGAGGACTCAGACTTGTTCCACTGTTACAGTGGGACAGAAACCACCCCCCACATCCTGACCTAGAGGCTCACAGTCCTGGCAGACACAGGAAGCCTGACCACTCATGAAGAATGAGGCAAAGCACTCATTGAATACTCAGCTTTTTCTGTGTCTGAGCTCCCTGTTTCCTTTCATCAGAGGGGGAACGCTCCTCTTAGCCTCTCCCTTCCTGCCTATGTACCTGTAGAATCCCTTCTTGTTACCTTTCACATTCCTCACCAAGTTCAGCCCCATCTGTGCCTTGGCTTTCCTAATCCTATCTCTATATACACAGACAATAGCCCCGTATGCCTCCCAGGCTACACAACCTTGCTTCCACTTTCCATACATTTCCCTCTTTTCCCTCAGTAAGCTGTAGGTCCTTGCACAGCCACGATGGACATCTGTCTCCCCTGTTTGACTTTTTCTACTGGGGGATGGAGAGCCATTGTGCTCTCAGAAGGCTGTCCTTAAAGAGCTGCCAGCTTTGTTCTGTGGCCATGCCTAAGGACAGTTTCCCAGGGGATCCCACTCAGCAGTTCCCTGAGCAGCCAGAAGTTTGCTCTCCTAAAGCACAGGCTCTGCTTTTTGCCAGATCCCCATTCTTCAAGATCATAAACTCCATGAAGGCATGGTCACTATTGCCCAGGCCACCTCCAATCTTAACCTCTCCAATGATCTCCTTTGCATTAGTGAGCAGCAGGTCGAGTAGGGCTTCAACTCTGGTTGATCCATCTACTACCTGGACCAGGAAGCTGTCCTCACCTGACTCCAGGAATCTCCTGGATTGTCTGCCACCCGCTACAGCACTATTCCAGCAAATATCTGAGTGGTTGAAATCCCCCATCAGGACAAGAGCCTGCAAGAGCGACACCTCCTACAGCTGAGGCAAGAAGGCCTTGTCAACAGGCTCCTCCTGATCAGATGGCCTGAAGCAGACCCCAACCACTACATGCCCTTTGCTGGACCGATCCTCGATCCACAAACTCTCAGCCTGATTGTAGCTGCTCCTCAGGCACAGCTCTTTACAATCCAGTTCCCTAGCAATTAAGTCATATTTTCCAATTGTGCCGTGGTTTCTAACTCCTCCTGTTTATTTCCCATGTTGCGTGGCACTGGTATAGAGGCACTTCAGCTTAGTTACTAGCCTCATTGCCTTCTCAGAGGAGCCCCTCCTAGTACCCAAGGTGACAGCTTTTCCACACACTTCTCTGTCACCTAGTACACCCCCTTCCCCCATCATATCTAGTTTGAAGCCCTGCTAACCAGCCCAGCCACCTTGTTCCCAAGAATATTTGTGGTCCTTCTTGTCAGTTGGCTCCCATCCCCCATCAGCATTCCCCCTTCCCCAAGGCTGTGTCCCAAGCCACAGTACCCAAAGCCCTGAGTACGACACCATTCACAAAGCCATTCATTCAGTGTGTCCATCCTCCTCCTTTTGTGCGGATCCCAATCACCAACTGAGAGGACAGAGGAGAACACAGCTTGCGTGCCCGACCCCTTCAAAAGTCTTTCCAGAGCCCTGAAGTCCCTTTTGATTGCCCGAGAATTTCTTTTGCCTATTTCTTCATTTCCAATGTGGAAAACCAGTAATGGATAATAATTGAAGGGCTTAAGCAGGCTGCCAATGTTCCTGGCAACATCCCTCATCCAGACACCAGGCAGGCAATACACTTCCCTGTGAGAGGGATCTGAGTGGCATATCAGGCTCTTGATTCCCCTCAGAAGGGAGTCCACTATGATGACAGCCCTTCTTTTTTTTCCCGACATTTTAGCAAAATGGGGATCAGACTGACTAGCCTTGGACAACCTCTCCTGCATGGATGGACTTTCACCGGCATCCACATCCCCAGCTCCAGGCCTCAGACCTGCTATGTAAGGGCACCTGGGAAAGTGGACAGGCTGAGGGGCAGTCTGCTTGCTGCCCCAAACAGGGACTTCTTTCCATCTGATGCTGTCTTCGAGGTAGCCCCTTCCCATCTGACCATGAGAAGGCAGACGATCCCCCACCACTTGAGATGCATTTTGCCCACACCCTTCCTGTAGCGATGGCAGAGTGCAACTCCACCAACCCATTCCCTTCCCACAAGCCCAGATGCTCCTTAGCCTTTTACTTCCTCCTTTAGCTCCACCCCCAGGCTGAGCAGATCATCCACCTGCTCACACCGCACACCTGGCTGCCCTCCTGTAGCAGTGACAGCAGCCTGAGACCTGAACTGCAGCATGGACGTTCATGCTTTCAGTCTCAGTCTCCATGTCCCCTTTAGCAGCAGCTCGCCGCCGGGTGGTGACCATGGTTGCACCTCGGTGTGTCCAGAGAGCAACGACGCGTTAAATGACCCGTTAAGTGCTAAGTGCTAAACCCCTTCCTGTACAGCAAGGTGACCCGCCTTGCCTGCTCGCTGACTGCTCGGGGTTTTGCCCTGAAAATCACTTTTCACATCGAGATAACAACCCACCTCCCTGTGTAGTGACGCGATTAGTTGGCTTACAGTTTCGCTTCGTCAAAACAGCCCACGTGATTCCCACACCCGCATTCCTCTCCCTGTCCCGGAGGCTTTTTCAAGGCAGGGCGCGTCCCGCATCACGTCAGCCGTTCTCGGGAGAACTGCGGGGCTGCTGTTACCTCGCGGTTCCCTGGATGAGGGAACCGACTGAAACCCCAGTGTACGTGGCGATCAGTCGCTACGGTTTTGACTGGGACAGCTTGAAGCGGCTAAACTCCACGATTTGAGCATTTGCATAGGTGCGATATGTCTTATTTGTTTTGAACCAGCTTATAACAGTCTTTTATGCATGTGTACATTTTATATGTGTAGCTTAGGTGCTTTTTCTTCTCGTCTCATTGCAGCCTGACTTTAACCTGCTAGCACCTGGGACTGAGGGCAGGTCTGTAGCTACAAGCCAGGTCTCCTGTTGAAGGGAAGCTTTCTCTCACTGACCCCTGCCAAGGCCCCCATAACTCCCTTTGTCTATCGCAGTACTAAGTTTGGATGTTTCACCTATTTCTACCTGGAAAAACTTAAGACCAAGAAATGCCTTGTAAAATAAGGTCTACATATCTGCTCTTCAATGATTTAGGTAAGAATCGTACTGAAAATCATGGTATCAAAGTAAATAGGGGAAAACTGCTAAATTACAGGAAGATTTGAGTCTTTAGACTAAAATGCAGAAATATCAGAACATATGGTAATAATGTTGGGTAAAAAAAAAACGTTCTGAAAAATTTAATGTTAATATTCTGAGAATAGTGTGCACTACTTATTTTTCCTCCGGCAAACTAGCCTGACACATTGGTAGTGCCAACTGAGTTGCCTGATCTCCTGCAAACACTGAAGTTGTAGCCAGAATGATCATGAATAGCGAAGATCTTGTGAAAATTCTGTTTCTTTCATTTCAGAATAAGATAGGGTTTCATTAAGGAGGATCAGATTGCAGCATAGGAGAGAGTTCATGTGGAATATCAAGGAAAAGTTTATTCCCAAGATGGAAGTAAGTGAGTGTATGTGACCCAGAGTAGGATAATATTAATGTTCTCTAGAAACCAAACTCCAAACAAATTGTATAGTCCTGTCCTCAGCGGAAACCTATCCCTGAAAGATATCCAAAGAGTCCATGTGTTTTTACACATTGGAAACACTTGCAAAGTTTGTCATGCCAAGTATAATTGAACTGAACCCAACTGAAATTGTAATAGCAAAACCAGCAGCAGGAGAGGTAATTTGTAATTTCTTTAAAACATTTGTAATTTTTAATTTATTAAACAACCTCTGAGTATATATTTCTAATATATTTCATGACTTCTTCATTTACTATGGTTTCTGCAGCTTGTATTTGTTATCATCACCCTATCTTCTCTGTATGAAGAGTTTCAATACAGATGAGAAGAAGAGAATCCCAAAACAAAGTCATAAACATATTACACAATATTCACAGTTCTGTAAATCGCTTCTGAGGCTACTGCTTCTACTCCTACCACATTCACCTTCCATATCAACAAGAAGCAGGAAAAACGAGGAAATTCTTGATCTTTCCCTCAAAAGTGCATCTTCAGTAATGGATCTTTCCAGAAGAAAGAAATCATGATGTTCCTTTGTCCATGTGCATCAAGAAATGCTCCTGACCTGGAGTTCTTTGCACTATACGCTTTAAGCACATGCATGTGAGGTTTGGTCAGCTCTTCCCAGGCTTCACATGGGCTGGGACCTGGGTCACCACATTCATGTGGTGCTTACATGAAACAAAATTTTCTGTTTGCCAGTCAGCCCCCTTAACAAAGGGGTAGACCAATACATGCATACCTCTTTTTAGTCAACTCAGTGCATGATATAGTAAGGTTATATTATAAAATTCTACTACATCCAGACATTGTTCATCACATGGGCTTATGTAAACAGTTTCTATGACCTAACATCTATTTTTTCAAACCATGTTATTATTTTCATGGAGTTTATTAAAAAAAAAAAAAAAAAAAAAAAAAAAATTCCAGTCTGTATATTTACTTTTGTCTTTCATTTTAGTCCTCTAGTATTCTGAATCACTACTTTCCTGAGATATTCTTGCAAAAAATAGTTTAATATAGCTTTTCAGTTTCTCTATTGTTTTTCTGAAAGTGATTGAGGTCAGATGTAACCGAACAAGATATCCCTTGCTTTCCTCTAGCCAGCAAAAACATTTTCAAACATTGTTATTTACAGTGGATAGTGTTAGCCTGAAGAAGCTGGTTTCTCTCCAGGCAGTGAAGAGACAGGGACTTCCTCCCAAGGTATCATCATTGATGGATGATGCCCACAGATGGTCCACTGACTGTAGACTCTACTCTACAGTAGAGGATTTATGGATTTATTTAGCTGGCACTGATGTTGAAGATACGATTTTGGCATTTAAGCCAATGAAGAGACCAGAAATAGGCACAATCAGCCAGAGGGGAGTTATAACCGAATGGAGAATCATTGAGTAGTAAAGAGGATATTGGTAGATCCATCTCTTCCTTCTATACAGATGGGATGTGGTACACACAGCTGTAGGAAAGAAGCCATATCTGAAAAAGAGAATCATAGAATCATATAATTTTTTTAGTTGGAAGGGATTATTAAAGATCTAGTCCAACATACCTGCAGTGAACAGGATACCTAGTGATAGAAGGGGTTGCCATGACCCAGGTGCAAGACACTGCACTTGGATTTATTGAATCTCATGTAGTTCTTGTCTAGGTCCGTCTGTATGATATCCCATCCCTTGGGCACATCAACAGCAACAACATAGCTTAGTATCACCCACAAGGTTCCCAAGGGTGCACTGATGATTTTATGAATGAAAGTATTAATTCTGTGATTAAAGAGCATGGGTCCCAGTACTGACCCTAACAGACACCACTCACTCCTGATCTCAATCTGGATATTGAGCCACTGACCACCATTCTCTGGGTATGATCTCACAATTAGATCTTCATCTGTCAAACAATCCACCCATCCATATCTTTTCAGTTAAGGAAGAAGAATATTATGGGGGACCACGTTGAAGGCCTTATTGAAGTCCTGGTGGATTATGTCAGTGGCTTTTCCCTTTGTCCGGTGATTCAGTTATGCCATCATAAAAAGCAACATGACATGCTTCCAAGATTTAAGCTGAGGGAGCAATGATTAGGTCATTGGTGACGTGCTATGAACTTGGGTCACTCTGGTATAAGTAATATCTGCACTGGAGGCCAGTTCTAACCTTAATCTATAAGCAAATCTGTGAAAGGAGTGAAAAGACTTCCTACCAGTGTTTTGTGGCTGACAGAGGCCACAAAGGGGACCTGGCCTTTCCAGTTTGTCAAGATTTGTTTCTACTGAGGCAGCATCTCTGTCACTCACCACAAAACACAAATACATGTCTTTGAAGATTAGGATCAGAATCTAGTACACTCTGATGAACATAATTCCTCTCCATTCAGAAGAATTGCAATAAGTAATTAAATATCTTTCAGAAACAAGACAGATGTAGGAGCCATCAGTGAGTACAGGCTGGTAATGTTTTTATGTCCTGCATTTGACTTATGTATGCACAGGTGAATATGCACAGGTATATAAATAGGACACTCTGAAACTAATGCCTCTATTTATTTCACATGAAAATACATATTTCATATGAAAATACAACAGATACAAAGACTGAAATAACACTATTTGATAGAGAAAATTCTCAGCTACAAAATGTGAATTTTCAATTATGGTGGTTTTTTTTTGGTTTGTTTGTTTGTTTGTTTGTTTGGAAAGCTAAATAATTATCTTAGTCATTGTTCAACAAGGGCCAAAAACTGAAGTTTATACATTAATTTTAAAATATAAAATTATTTTGTTTAAATATAAACATAGCTTCTATCTCTAGGACACAGCTTAATTGGAAAATTATTTTAAGTAGATTGCACCAATCCAGAAAAAGTATGCTCATATGAATGGAAAAGTGTAAGCACGATAACACACAGAAGAAATAAAAGTGAGGTTGTTTCCATTCTAACCATTACATAAAGCAAACTTTTGGCTTTGTCATTTTAAGATTCTTCTCTTCCTTTCTTTTCACCGTAGGTTAATGTCTTTCCAGATTGGTGCCATGCTCTGCCCTGCTTCATAGGTCAACCCAAGAGGTGCTTTTTGGGCTGCACTCCACCGACTCACTCCTCTTCATTGTTACAGTAATAAATTTTTCAGTATCCTGCTGACTTATTTGGGCATATCTGAGTTGGCCAGTCTAGCTTTCAGAGTTCAACAAGGAGTATGGAAACACTCAGTGTTCCCTTCCAATCTCATGTTATTACATATAACGTGAATGTCATGCCACTCGTCATTAAGCTACAGCAGCATCTGTCTTGTGATGCTGTCAGACTCTGCAAGTCTAGACATTTTGCCTCTGACAGAAAGTAAAGGTGGCTTAAATGGGGCAAGGCCAGGGCAGGAAAGTATGTGTGTTTACCTTGACCCCGAAGTACCTTTAAAAATGCATAAATAAATAGGAAAAGGTGCAGAATCCAATCATGTGTTCTCAGTGGTGTAAGTTACACATCATGTATCTGTCGGTCAGGAAACAGGTGTATGTGGGTGTAAGTGCCAAAGCTGTTTGACTTGCAGCAAGTTGGCATTTAGTGGGAGTGCAGTGTGAGTGTAACATACACTCCCAGATATGGAATAACAAGTGAGGGGGATGTAGTGAAGCAGCTAGATCATCAAAGAGTTAAGCAAATTTGCAGTACCCGCAGGAAAAAAAGAAAAATTGAAGATACTGCATATTTCACTGTTGATTTTTTTTTTTTTTTTTCCATTCATGTCCACAGTGTCAAATCTGCTGTTGATTTCAGAGGGACTGCACAAGCTCCCTACTGTTATACTTAGTACCACTTCTGCCCCCCTTGAATCGGCATCTAGAACAGCTGCAAGATATTTTGCAACCAGACGCAAGTTTCCTCTTCCTGTTCTCTGAGCCAACCAGATGCAAACTGGCCTCAAACCAGAAGCCATGTAGCTACAGTTAGCAGGCACACAGCCCAAGCTAACAAGCCTTGCTGAGAAGGCAGGATGTATTTGCTCAGGCTCAGCACTGTGCTACTGCAGCTACACAGTCTCTGCTGAGCTCAGAGTACAGGCAATGCCTGTTCCTGGCTACCAGGACCGCAGGCAAAAGCTACTGATATCACTGTGAGAAGTAGAAGAAATGTCAGAAAGTTATGGATTTCACCTTTGGCTCTTAAATAAACCAGAGGGCCCCTACAGTTTTTTGAGACACATATTTTAATACATGCATACATATATATATATATGTATATATATATATATCTTGAATATATATATGGGTCCTGGTGCAGGTTTCAGGAACTCCTAACAGCAGGAGGCCAGTAGGCCAGTAAAATAATCTGGAAGTGGATACAATGGGTAATCTTTTGTGCCTTCTGAATCATCTCAACAGCATTTTGTATATTCTGTGTGTTCTGGCATAAATAATCTCCTGGACAGGAAAAGGAGCAAAAAAAATCAACTTGAAAATTGCTATACCGCCTTGGTAGAAGAGAAGGGAAATTGAGGGAGATCTCCAAAGATTTGAAAATGCTTGTAATAAGCACTTACATTTTTTCAGTAGATTTGCCCATCAGTAGTCAAAGGTCTTATTCACATATCACGTGTATTTTCCCTGATAAAATTGCCTTTTCTTCTGGAAGATGCATCTCATTTTAAATTGCTGCCAACTCTAATCAAAACCACCTACGCAACAATACTGAGCTTTTTTTTCCCACCTCAGTCTCCTAAAAGATTTTCTTTTAGGATTGCACAAAATTGCACATAAGAAATTCAATACATAGGGATAAAAGAATTTAAATGAACAAGGCCCAGGTCCCATGTATGTGTATTTCAGTGCTCCAGCACCATTTCTGGCAGACAGTTGAAGATTTACCCAATGATTAAGGTGTTCCTCTGCTACACATAGATCTTTCACAGCGTTAGAAGCTTTCTTTCCTCTGATTACACTGGGTTTTAATCTATTTTTCTGCGTGGAGTAAATTTTTTCAGAAATTCACACAATAAGCTGTTGAGGTCTTGATAGAGCTTATCATACTGTGTAATAAAATTCCTCAGGTATTTATAAGGGAAGCATGTGGGATAAAAGTTTAGAGAAGGCTGGCAATTCAGGTTGGATACAGCCCACTGGCCAAAAACTGAACAGGTCGTTCACACTGAATGAGCACCTGAAGATGATTCACATGTAGCAAGTGATAATAAAAAGCTTCTTCAGATGTAGAGGACATTTTTTAAATAAGATGTTACTGAAAGTTTAGGGTCAGAAAGATATGGGTAAGATAGATTTTCCCGCAGTTCTTTTCTTCAGATAGTATATCTTTAAGAAAATATAACTTATTAGGCATTTATAAGGTAGTTTAATACTGAGGGTTATTTAGATCTGATATTCCATGAAAGTTTTACTTCTTACTCTATCCAAAATGAGTATATTGAACTTATATATTTAAACAGTATAAGTTGAAGAGGTTAGCAGATATCCCCTTCCAATGAAATTATTAATGACCTGTTCAAAGAAACTGTAAAAAAAAAAAAAAAAGAAAGAAAAAGAAAAAGAGAAAAAGAGAGACACAAAAAAGAAAAAAATACACAACATCAATACCTCTTATTAACCATGGCTTTTAGATTAACCGTGGCTTGCAGCAAGATAGTTCACAGGTGCATCAAAAACTGCTCTTACCCAGCAGGTTATTGAAATTAATCCAGCCCAAATAGAGAGATAGAGTGCATCCTCAGCAAGTTTGCTGATGATGCGAAGCAAGGAGGAATGGCTGACAGACTAGAAAACCGTGCTGCTGTTCAGCAAGACAGAATAACCTGGACAGACTAGAAGGTTGGGCAAAGAGGTGCCTGATGAGGTTCCAGAAAGTCAAGTATAGAGTCCCCTATGCTTGTGGAGGAACAATGCATGCTCATGCATGCATCAGTGCAGAACAGGGGCTGACCTGCTAGAGAGGAGCTCTGCAAAGAAGAATATGAATGTCGTGATGGCCAATGGTTTAGCCAGCAGTTTGCTCTTGTGGTGAAGAAGATCAGTGGTCTCTGGAGTGTATTAAAAAGTGTATGGCTGCTAAAAAGAGCAGGTTGAAACACATCTGGAGTACTGTGCCCTCTTCTGTGCCTTTGGAATGGCTGCTGTGGACACAGAAGGTGTTAAGCAGTTGTCTGTTTTGCCTGGCCTATCAGAAGATCCATCTGTTGTGGGGCTGCTGCGAGTAAAAGAGCAACAGGTACCGATTGCTACAAAAACGGTGCACAGACGGCAGTACCGCACCAACAGGGATTCCTTGCTCCCAATTCATAAGTTGATTCGTCAACTAGAGAGCCAGGGAGTGATCAGCAAAACTCACTCGCCTTTTAACAGCCCCATATGGCCAGTGCGTAAAGCCAGTGGAGAATGGAGGCTGATGGTGGACTACCGTGGCCTGAATGAAGTCACACCCCCACTGAGTGCTGCTGTGCCGGACATGTTAGAACTCCAGTATGAACTGGAGTCAAAAGCGGCCAAATGGTATGCCACCAGAGGAAAAACAAAGATCTCCTAGAGAGAATTCAGTGGAGGGCCACAAACATTATAAGGGGCCTGGAGCATCTCCGTTATGAGGACTGTTGAGAGACCTGGGACTGTTCAGTCTGGAGAATAGAAGGCTGAGAGGGGTGTCATACAAATACTTAAAAATACCTAAGGGGCAGGTGTCAAGAGAATGGTGCCAGACTCTTTTCAGTGATGATCTGCAACAGAACAAGGACAACAGGCACAAGCTGGAATACAGGAAGTTTCATCTGATGTAAGAAATAATTTCTTTACTTTGAGGACAGCAGAGCACTAGAACAGGCTGCCCAAAGAGGTTGTGAAGTCTCCTTTTCTAGAGATCTTCAAAACTCACCTGGATGCTTTCCTGTGTAACCTACTGTAAGGAACCTGCTTCAGCAGGTTACTGAACTCAAGGATTTCCAGAGGTTCCTTCCAACTGCTACAGTTCTGAGATTCTGTGAAAGTGACTGAAATGCTTGCCTTTCTGAAGTTACATAATAAAGCATTTAAAACAGGTTGGAAGCTTAAATCTCCTTTAATTCACTTATAGAGTGGCAAATTATTATTATTATTATTATTATTATTATTAATGGAATAATTTAACTTCAGATGTTATAAAGCTTTGACCAAGAATTTTGTGCACTCTAGAGGCTGATGTTCAGTTATCTTTGGAATCTTAATAGCAAGTTGGGGTCACAGAATCACAGTCACAGAATATTTTTTTTTAAAGCTCCCATGTAGCACATGAAAGATCCTAAGCATCCCAGCATAACATTCAAATAAGTCAATAAGAATAGCTTCAGCAGGCTAGCATACTTAGGTTGGATCTTCCTCGTCCCATCCCCACCTGCCCATCTCCACAATCTTGGCCTTACCAGGCTTACACTCAAAGAAACTCTTTTCCAACTCCTATGTCATGTTTACCCTTATATTTTCAAATTAAGGTTAAAGCTTAAGCGAATTAAGTGAATTAAGTAAATTTTGGAAGAGGATGTAATGACAAGATGAGGGGAAATGGTTTTTAGCAGGATGAGAGTAGATTTAGGCTAGGTACTAGGAAGAAATCCTTTACTGTGAGGGTGGTGAGACATTGGAATGGGTTTCCCAGAAAAGTTGCAGATGACCCCTCCCTGAAGCATTCAAGGCCAGTCTGGATGGGGCTTTGAGCAACCTGATCTAGAGAGAGGTGTCCCTGCCTGTGGCAGCAGGTTGGAACCTGACAATCTTAAAGGTCCCTTTCAACCCATAACATTCCATGGTTCTGTGATTCTGTAACGTGTTCTATAAAAGAGTGACTAATAGTCTTCTGAATATGGATCTGATTTCTACTCTCATGTATGTTGTTTTTACACCAGTGTAACTCCACTGATAGCAGGGTGTTGTTACTGATTTATGCCAAGAAGAAAGAGAATCAGGACTCCCTTGCTCTGAAAATGAGCCAGAATAGGTTGTCTAAACTGACTCCTCCCCAACACTTTCCTTTCTCTAGCTTAAAGCGAATTATTTCAGAAATTGTTTTTTTGTTGGATTGTTATTTCAGTGGTGCCTGCAATTAAAAACTGTCTCACTAAACAAACTGTAATTACTGCAAATTGTAGTAAGCACTGGTAATTCATATGCCTTAGTAAAGCTGGATAGTTTTAAGATGGCCTTTAAAAAAATGAATTCATGACTTAGTACAATGTCACATCAGTCTGACAGTCTTTAAAACACAGAGTACAGCTATTCCTTATAATGTAGAGAGTGTGCACTGGTATTGAAGCAATTTATAATAAGACACAAGTATGTTACTACATAGCTTGTGTGCAGTCACCCCCACTGGAAAACTGCCATAGCTGTAACGCACTCATGAAGGGGGTCTATGTGTGGGTGTCTGCCCCTGAGCCTCACTAGCAAATGAAGGAGCTTGAGGAAAACCTGAGTTAAACCTTTCATAGATGTTCTTGGTATTTATTGCTCATGCTTTTCCTGCCAACTTGGTGTCATCTGCAAGCTTAGGTGTACTCAGTGCCCTGATCCAGGTCATCAATAAGGATTTTAAACAGGACAGGCCCCAGCACCAACACTTGAAGAGCACCACTCATGACTAGTCATCAGCTGGATTTAATTCCATTCACCACCACTCTCTGGGCCCAGCCCTCCATCCAGTTTCTTATCCAGCCAAGAGTGTGCCTGTCCAAGCCATGGGTTGTCTGCTTCTCCAAGAGAGTACTGTGGGAGACAGTGTTGAAGGCTTTGCTGAAGTGCAGGTAGACCACATCAACAGCCTTTCCCTCACTCAATCATAGAAGGAGATCTAGCTGGTAAAGCAGGAGCTTTCTGTCACGAACCTATGCTAGCTAGACCTGATCCTCCGCACATGCTGTGTTATCTCCCTTAAGATAATCCATAACTTTTCCCAGCACTGAGGTCAGGCTGACAGACCTGTAGTTCTCCAGATCCTCCTTACAACTCTTCTTGTAGATGAGAGTCACATTGTCAAGCCTCCAATCCTCTGGGATCTTTCTGGTTGACCAAGAATGTTGATAGATAATGGAAGGTTTCTTGGCTATCACCTCTGCAAGCTCTGTCAGCACCCTCGGGTGGATCCCATCCATCCCCATGGACTTGTGGCAGCGTAGGTGGAGTAGTAGGTCTCTAACCATTACCACCTGAATTGTGGGGGGTTTATTCTGAGACTTCTGGCTCAGGTTGTAGAGTACCCCAAAGATAACTGATCTGACTTTTAAAGACAGATTTAAAGAAAGCATTGAGAACCTCTTCCATATCCTCAATGGTCACGCTCTCCACCAGAATCACAGAATTGTAGGGGTTGGAAGGGACCTCTAGAGATCAACCCCCCTGCCAAAGCAGGTTCCCTACACCAGGTCGCACAGGTAGGCATCCAGGCGAGACTTGAACATCTCCAGAGAAGCAGACTCCTCAGTCCCCCTGGGCAGCCTGTTCCAGTGATTCGTCACCCTCACTGTAAGGAAGTTCTCGGGCACATTCGTGCAGAACTTCCAATGCTGCAGCTTATGTCTGTTAAATCCAAATCCAGAAGAGGATGGAGATCCTCCCTAACCCTCCTCTTACTGTTAATATATTTGTAAAAATATATTTTTGTTCTGTTTTACTTCAACAGCCGTGCTGAGTTCAAGCTCGGCTTTTGCTGTTCTTTCTCCCTGCACATCCAAGCAACTTCTTCATATGCTCCCTGAGTTGTCCATCCTTTCTTCCACAAGAGGTAAATTCTCTTTTTCTCCTGCAGCCTCAGGAAGATCTCCCTGTTAACTGATGTCAGTATTCTTTCCTGTTGATGTGTCTTCTGGCTCAGTTGTACACCCTGTTCTTGTACCTTTAAGACTTTCTTCTTGAGGAGCAAAAGCAAACAGCCTTTCTGGACCCCTTTATTCTTCAGGACTGAATCTCAAGAGATCCTCCTTACCTGTGTCTTGAGCAGTTCAGAATCTGCCCTCTGGAAGACCAAGGCAGCAGTTTTGATGCTGCCCTCTCCTGACTTCACCAAGAATTGGGAACTCTACCATTTCATGGTCACTCTGTCCAAGTCAGCTCCTGATCTCCAATCTCCCACCAGCCCTTTTCTCTTTGTGAACAGCAGGTTTAGGAGGGCAGCTCCCTGGTAGGCTCTCTTACCAGCTGCATTAGAAAAGTTATTTTCCATACCCTCTAGAAACCTCCTAGACTTCTTCTGCTGCACTGTATTGTATTTCCAGCATATATCAGGGAATTTTTAGTCCCCTGTGAGGACAAGGGCTACTGATAGCGCAACTTTTGCCAGCTGTTCATAGAATGTCTCATGTGACTCTTCATCCTGGTTAGGCGGTCTATAACAGACTCCCATCAGAATGTCCACCTTGTTGACCCTCCACTGATCATTGTCCATAAAGATTCAGCTTTATCATTCCCAGTCCCAAGCTCCACAACATCAAAATACACTCTAAGATAGAGAAATCCTTCACTTCTCCTGGGTGTTCACAGCCCTTTATCTTATGTTCACTGTTGTGTTTGTAATTGGCCTGTGGTGATTTCTGAAGAGTCTTAGATTCATTAGCACAACTCTAAAAGGAATAGGCCATTAAGTCTGTGATTTTTGAATAAATTTCTAAATAAATGATTTCATCGAAAAGGTAGGTAGGGGAAGAAAAAAAAGCATTTAAATATTTCTTGAGTAATGAAGTCAGAAAATCATATGAGGAAACAACTGTTTAATACCGGTACCTTGCCTTGGATCATTTTCAGTGGTGATGCAGATATTCAGGAACTTGAGAGCATCCCAGAACAGTGCAGAAGAAAACAGCCAGTCTGGGTTACTTAGCTCAGCCTCTGGTCTAATCCAACCCTTGTTATTTCAGTGCAGCTATTTGTTCTGTTACAGAAACTAAGTACTGGTGTAATTCTTCCCTTTTTCCATGCGCACTACTGTAGCAATTTTTGAGTCATATTCCTTCCACTGTGAACACTGGTATTTGTTTTTCTTTTGATATAGGAATGTTTGACCATGTCGTACGAGGCTCTGCATAGCTTCTCTTCTGATCTAATCTTCTGCTACAGGAAGTTTTGTCCCTGTCTAGATTATCCCCTTCCTCTTCCAGCACAGCTTCTTGAAAAATACACCTCTGTA